GCTGAACAAATCATTATGCATACTGAAAGCATGAAATACCTTTAAGACTTAGTTGTTTGCAGGTATTAGCTTACCTTATCTTGATTTACTAATGAATACACATAGAGGGGAAGAAAGAGCCTATTGAGTAGGTGGTCTGTCAGCACATCATTTAAAAATTCACAATTAATGATAAGGATATCATTAAGGTAATGTAAATGATCAAGATGTTCTGCTACCAGGTCACTCAGTTTGCCCCTATTTCTGTGCCTGAAAAAGAGAGCAGAAAGAAAGTCTCAGACATAATTAATTGTCAAAAGTCTTCAAAACTTAAGGAAATAATTAATGTGTATCCCTTCCACAGATCACCTTGCGCAGATCGACTGCCTAAAAAAGATGTTTTCAGTAAAGTCAACTAATGCAGCTAGCAAACAGTATTCAGGCTTATATGTGCTTTAGGATGCACATATCAAGTTTTTTCCCCAGTTTTCAGAAGCAGTATTTTTACAAAACTTTGCTTTCCACTGCCAGAGTCTTTTCACAAGCCGACCATAAAAAATTGTAAGATTTGTGTCCAAAAATAAAAGAAATCTATGTTGTATTTAATGTCTACCTCTTCACTTTAAGAAAGCAAGAAACAGTTGCCCATTCTAAGGTGGGGGTGGGAAGCCAAACCAAGAATAACCTGAATCAACAAAATATTTCTGTAGTTGATAGCGGAATATTACACAGGAATTTCAGGTCTGACAGTTCTCATATTAAATAAAGTCCACCTTTCCAGTTTAAATTTTTTCCTAGAATCTTTTCCGAAAGCTGTTCTACTGAGATGATACACAGAAAAGGAACATTAAAAAGACAAAGTTAATAAGATTGAGAAGCACAAAATACCTTTTGTGTCTTCTGGATATCGACTAAATTTAGCAGAATTAAAACAAAGATGAAGAAAAAGCATGTTGCCAAACACTAATTTATTTGTACGGATATTAGCACAGATAGGGCACACAGCAGTAACCACTATTAATTCAAAGAATCACTAAAAAACTCTGCAAGAATGAAAAGCTTGAACTGTCTACAAGGGAACGTATTCAGAAACTAACTTAACTGGACTACTATAGACAAAATAAAGAGAGTATCAACATCTGGGAAAAGCATTTCCATTCAATATCCAGCATTTGTAAAAGCTTACTCTTCATCAGTCTGCACACAGTTATCCAGTTCTATCACGTGGCTTCCAATAAACCAAACGAGGTTGGAGAAATAAGGGACAGCAGTTTTATCTCTAATGTAATGCAGCATAGGTTGGTTGTCCACTGAAGAGAAATTGTTAAAAAGAAAAATCAGTTGCCTTTTTTTTTTTAGTAATTTTTAAGAAATACAACAAAGTATCTTCTGAATTTTGATTACACGCTAGGTTTTCATACGATTATATACCTGACATGATCTTATGCATGAAATGGACATCTACAAAAGCATCATATCAATTCTTAATTGGCTTGAATGAGCCTAATATTGATATATTTACATAGGTCTGAAGCTAAACAAATCTAGTGGAATTCAGAAAGGTTTTTTTAGCACATTCTTTTTTAAAAAGAAGAGAAAAAAAGCATAAGAATAAAGCAATAATGCTGAAAGTCAAGCTAGTTAGACTTACATGACACTGCATTAAGGAACACAGGAATCATCAGTGAAGGAAGGGCAAAAGAAACAGACAACAGTTAACAGGATTAGGAACTGGGATAGTGACATCCTCCAAAAGGGTTTAAAAAGCTAAAGCACAAAGCATCTAAACTAAAAGATACAGGGTAGGTGTTAGATCAGAATATATGCAAATGGATAGTCAGAAAATTATGAAACCTGAACATCTGAGCTGTGTTTTTTCAACTCTAACCTTTATATCACTACAACATTCAATGAAAATTCTAGACAAATACACTTTTTTATGGTAAAAATATTTGGTTACATAAATATATAACAAATAGGATACGAAGCCTGCACTTTGCTCTTTTTGTGAGCTCATATTTGGGTTTACAGCTCCTTGAAGTAGAAAACAAATACCAAGTGCCCATTTCTCAACATACAAAAGAAAGACATTTTGTCCCTTGCAGTCAACACTATAAAGAACCTATCTGCTATGCAGGCTGTCCAGTAGTTTGCAAAGCCAACTGTTCATTGTTTTAAAAAAGATCTTATATTCTTCTATAATGAAGACTGTCATCAAAACACTACTTCTCTTAATTGATCGAAAGTTGTGTAAATTCAAAATGTAATTTAATTTGAAATGGATTAAAGAATAAGAAGCCCTGCATGAACATATTCCACAGTACGTACTACCTTACAGGATGCTGATTTCAGAGGTAGAAGTTCTGAATACACACCAATTTTTCTACAGAGATCACTGTGATATTTTCAGTCTATTAGATTTTATAGACCCCAAGAAAAATTTAGGGGGAAGTGACTTTTGGACGTTATCTAGTCCAAACCCATTCTCAACCTGGTTGCTAAGGGCCTTGTTGAGTTTTGAAGGTCTCAAACAATACAGATTCCTCAGTTTCTCTGGAAAACCTGTTGCAGTGCTTAACTATTCTCACAGTGAAGATTTGGTTTTTTTCCTTATGTCCTACTGGAATGTCCAGTACAGGAATTTGTGACTGCAGCCTCCTGGCCTTCACTGGGCACCTCTGAGAATGGTCTAGCTCTTCTTTAAGCTGGAGTGACTGCAGCACCTAGGAGCTCTACAATCATATTCTAATGCACTTCAAATCCAAAAGGAAGTGATGAGGCCAACAAGGTTACTGCTTCATACATTATAAAGCTCAAGTTCATAAGTAAAAAATACTTGATACTCTTAAAGCACTCTGGTTTTGGGGTTGGTTTTTTTGTTTGTTTGTTTGTTTTTTAAATACAGTCACATTCTGACCTCTGTTGGAAGGGAAGCTAAAGTTCCTTGCGTATGCTTTATACTTTTGAGGGTTTTTTTATACCAGTTTCATCTGTGAGGAAACAATACTATTTACAAGTACATACTGTAGGTTTGGGGTTCTGTTTCATAAAAAACAAAATGTGTATCTGAAGCATGTCAGCATGCCAAGCTTTTAAATCTCATAAAACAGACAGAAAACCCTTAAATGTAAATAACTGAAAATTAAACTACAATGAAACAAGAATTTTGTACATATGCCTTTTTTAATACACAAAAAGCATACCTTTGTAGACATTTAAAGTTATAGTCCTAACAGCAATCCTGACCATGCTTTCTGGGTGGTTAAAAAATTTAATAGCTTCAGTGTACAAAGCGAAGTCATTAGTGTGCTGTAAAAAGAGGAAAGAAAGTATTTATGAATTAACCAAAACATGTACAGAATATTTGTTGGAATTCTGCATGAAAAATGTTTTCCATTTATTACTCTGATATTTTTACTTTCTACTTAAGTAATCGAAATGATTTTACAATGCATTTGTAGCTCTGCATTAAAATAAACTGCTTCCCATGTTAACTCTGCACATATTCAGTGCTTTAATGCCCTCTTCTGGCAAAAAGTGGAACGGAGCAAGGAAAAATCCATTTCAACTTTGGCCTTTGATTACTCGGGCTTTTTAGACTTTGACTAAGCCTCTTAGAACCAAGTGGTGCAACAGAAAAGACCCTGTTTATAAAGGACAAGAAAACAAGGCATAAACAAGTTGAATTCTCAGGGAAGTACACTTCAGAACTAGTGAAACAGCCCAATATAACACTGACTTCCAGATTTTGATTTTATTATAGTTGTATGAGGACAAAGACCTTTTTTTATCATGGTTTTGCAGAGATCCCCACAAATGAATTCTCAATCACTGGTATTACCGTTATAAAAATAAATGCAGGATATGCTGAGAAAAGAGACTAAATAGAGTATGTGCCAAATTGCTATCAATTTCTAATCAAAGTCCTCTTATCATTATACTGCAACTCTTTCTTCACTTACCTCATTATAAAAGAAATGTACAGTATGATTTTGAAAGAGTTTTCAAAAATGATATGTAATATGCCATGATCTCCTCATCAGAAAAGTCAAATTTGTGGACAATAATAGAATTTACATAGTTATTAGAGAGCAGGTAGTCTGAAAAATAAGAGACATTACACAGATTAAGAGAAAGAAAAAAATCATTATGCTAACTAATTGTATTTAAAGTACCAGCTAGCAACAAACTAGCTGATGCTTGAAGACCCCAACTTTTAGCCAAACAACTCAAGTGATGGCTTCAAGCAGTAATACAAGGAAATTGCTCCCTACAAAGGCCTTTGCTCCCAAGAACAAGACAACTGAGAATATACTTCACCTTTCTCAATTATGTAGGCTTTGCAGCTAATAACACTTAAAACAACTCTTTTTTCCTCCCAAAGTCATTAACTCTCAAAGGCTTGTATAGGACTTTCTCTTCATGATAGTTGTGGAGTACTTTAAACTAACATTTAATAAACTAACTATTAATTCTCTGTCCTCTTTATATGTTTCTAAAAACCTTGAAGTAAACAGAAGTGGCTGAATGCCAGCACCAATGATGTCAGAACAGTTCCAGTGGAAATTATACAACAGAGTTCCACCACATAATCTGCAGCAGCAAGATGAACATTTTGGACCACAATTAATTTGCTGACTTAAAGAACCCCTTGAAATTGCTAAGTGTTTCAGTAGTACCAAACAATTACTTTTGTACTACCGAAAATTTACATTAAAAGGTATTTTGGAGTCAAATTACACTGTATTTTCAGTAGTGTTCAATTAAAAAGATTGTTAGGAATTCATATAGTTCTTCTGTGAAGGGGCACTAGGACTAAATTTCATTAAATCAAATCTTGATCACTTAATCCTAAACAGTTTAAAAGCGTGCCCTTACACAGTGATGTTTCATGACTGATGTTCTCAAAAAGGATGTTCAGAGTCTGCAGTAGCTGTACGCACACATAACGACCAGACTTCTGACGCAAAATGTTCAAGAAGAAAACAAACATATTCTTCTCCAAGAAAAAGCTGAAATAAAATAGAAGTCATTAAGTCACTTGCTGTATTTAACAGGAACACAATTTTACTAGGATCAGGGACAATTCTAGGCAAGTTTGACAAACAGCATGTTTTACATTTATGAAGAATTATTTTGCAAAGTTTTATCTGTATAACAGATATATCTGCATATCTTCCAAAAACCTTAAACATTAACAAGGGTGCTTTAACATTCAAATTACGCAGAAAAGGAATGTCAAGAAATCAGGGCCTTTTTTATTTTATTTTTAGTATATTTAATTTATCAGGTAGCTTCCCTACCATGCAATCATAATTTCGAAGGGGAGAGCCTCTAAATGAAGGTTACATGTTGAAATCAGCTTGTAAAAATAAAACCAACCACTCCCTAAATAAGTAAGTAAAAACACCAAACACCTTAGCTTTACTTATCTCAATCACAAATTGCCTTCATAAAAGAGCAAGTGTCTTGAAGCAAACAGCCAAGCAATAGGCATTAATACAGTCAGATTTGCAACTGTGAGTATTTGTTTTGAAGTTCGTTTTTCTATCATGCTATTTTATGAGGATTAAAATAACACCTGAAGAAAAACTCTAAATATCATTGCTAGAATAAGATATCTATTTGTAGTATCTTATATAAATTGAAGTGAACAAATTAAAGTCACATGATACTAATAGATGTACTGAGTAAATCTGGGCCCTAAAATAGGTTAGATTTTGTATTTATATCAAAGATTTGAGAGTCAAACAAAAGCAGTACGTGAAAGGGGCTCTGGACTTGGAACACTTTTTTGTTAACAGAAGCAAATCATTTTTTTGTATGACAAGAATATGATCCTGCTTACCCGTCTACTACAGGACATAACTTTCTACCTACATTCATGAAATACAGTCTTGGAAGAATTAACCTTTTGAACCAGATCTCTATGCAACTCTGACCATTCTTCAAAAACAAATCTAGAGTCAAAATTGCTTAGAAGTACTCACTCAAATACTGAGCTGTCATTCTGATCCCCCCATATAAGGATCTCTGTTATAGAACGAATAGTCTCCACCAGCAGGTTGCGGTTGTGATCTGTTACTGTTGTGTTTTTAGTCAAAACATGATACATGTACCTAAAAGAAAAAATAATTACAAGTAATATGCTATCCTGCCACTTTCACATGCAACATGTTTGTCTTTAGTCACTGTAACTTAATGTAGACACACACATACACACACACTATGTCTAATCGTTGTACAATTTTAAAATCCTGAAATTTCCTTTTAGTATTGATGCAGAGAGAGAAACAGAGTACGTGACAAACGAAACAAATCCATAACTAGTCCGGTGAGTTATGAATGCTTATGCATATGTTAACATAGGACTAGAAATTATATAATACTTCGTCCACGGAGCTTCTTATGGCAACCTAGTGAATTTCTTTGGAAGTATGTTAAAGGAGTGATGAGCAAGAAAAAGGAGAAATAGAAGCTGCAGGTAAGCATGCAGTAGCTGATATGGGAAAGTCTAATTCTGGAAAGAGGCACATGCAGATCTAACTAGAAAAGTTAGATCCCTTCTCTTGCCTGCAGAGACACTTCACAGACTCAGGTCAATTTGATGGTTAATAATCAGGACTGTCAAAGACTATTCGTTCATCTTGGCAAAGCTTAGTCATCAGGTCTCTGGCCCTTCAAGCACAGAAATACTGATCGGAAAGGTGGCAAATTCCAGCTTTACCATCTCAAAGGGCAAGAGTTTAAGGCTGTCTAGTGAAGTTTAAAAAAAACTTATGTCTATATTACACAGGTGACAGGAAGATAAATAAAATTTGAAAGGCTTGTATTGTAAGTCTCAGAATCTTACTCAGTCAAGGAAGCACATTTCTCTTGGGTATTTTTTTCCAGAATAAGATGTTACATCAAAGATTACTTCCCTTTGTCCTCAGAGAAAAAAAGAAAGGGGGAGGGGGAGAGGCAAATTCTAATAAAAGCACAAGAATCACTACTGCTTTTCTCCCTCTTTTTTTTTTGCTTTTATATACTAATAAAATATGGATGTAAGAAAGGTACACAATTATGGAAGTAATTAAATAAAAAATATAATCAGAGAAATTTCATGTCATTTTAAAACTGCAAGAGTTTAGATTACTAAACACAGATCATATATTGCTATACTACAATCTACCGAAAACCAGGAGTAACACATGAGCATTCAGGATTATCTGGGCAATATACTCACAAGTGTTTGGGAAGGAAGACAGATTTTCCATACTATCAACCTTCCCGTGAAAAGTAGTTAATCAAAACTCCCAAGATCTATTTTTGGAAAAACAGCCTGCGTGTCCTGACTCTGGGGCAGCCTATCATTATTGTTTTGGATTCCATGAAAGTTTGCTCAGTGACTCAGGTTGAAATTTTAGCAATTTATTAGTACGACGCGAGAGTTTAGAAGTTCAAGAAGCCAATTTTTAAGCACAGACCCAAAGACCTCAAGCAGCATTGTGTAAAAGCTAAAAATAAAAATTTTGCCAAGCTGTAGGGTTCCAGGAAACACTGTGTGTTTCAAAAACAAAATTTTGGAGTGTCACGTTTAAAGTAAGTTTCAGAAGTTGAGGTAAAAAACAGACTTGAAATCACATTTCAAGAAACAGTATTCCCATTAATTTTATCTACACTAAGAAACCGAATCACTGCACAGGGGAAACATGCAGCTGGAGACTAAAATGCCATTTAACTGAACACTGAACATTTTTCAGACTTACGAAGACAAAACAAGATACTACCTAGTTGCAGAACCTTTTTCATGCTTGAAATCAATAAAAAAAAGGTTTTATTATATTTGCAGTTCACTTAAAATTTGCAAAATTTGGTTTGGGGAATCTTCTTCAACCACTGAGCTGCCTGTCACTCAGCTGGCCAGAGCTTCACAGGACTTGCTGCAAGCCATAGTCCATCCTCATAAGCCATGCAGGAAGCAGAAGCTATTTCAGAAAAGTTTATTACGCTTTTATGGTAAAATGCTATATGCTTGCTGATCTTGATATTGCTTAATCATCAAATAATGATTTTACTGTGCTGAGTACTGCACAAGGACATCGAGAGGTAAACAACTCTCAAAAGTTCACAGTTTTAACAAACTTGATATATCGCATGCTCCCTTCCCTGCGCCCCAAAATCAGCAATGTGATAAAGCCTACATTGTATTAAGGTTAACCTACCAGACAGCAGAGGAAAGAGGAAAAGAAAGGGAAGAGATGGCAAGAGGGGGAAAAAGATTGGCTTTCCATACTCTCTCTCTTCAGTAAAAAATTTTCTCTCCCTCTTCACGCTGTTTTTTCCCCTCATAAATCAATAGTCATTTTCCAAATCCAGAACAGAAACTGCTCAGGTTGAAATCATTCTAGGAAAAGTTGATTCATAGCTATCTCCTACAGTCATAACTACCTGGTCACGTGCCGTACAGTAACAGAAGTCACTAAATAGCAAGTCAAAGAGCACCCGGAAATCCTCTTCAACTAATCTGAGGATCATGGTTCAAGATTCCTTCTATGGAGACCGACAGTGTGATGGCTCTTAGTGAAGATGTGAGAGTTTAAGTCTGACCACCTATGAGAATTCCCGGGGCTTTCTAAAACAGCACATGGCACACAAGCCCTGTAAAAACTTCCCGTTATAGCACTATATGTATTATCAGGACAGCAAATCAAAAGACAGAGCAAAAACTGTCACTGCTCTGAGCATGCAGCAGTTAATGGAACAGCGAACAGCTGAAGACAGAAGGCAATTAAATCAGAACAGTTCATTTCCAGCAATCTGTATAGTAAGTGTTTTTCCTGAGAAAGTTAGTTCAAAGAGAGTAATTAATACTACACTGCTTTGCATATTTTAGCCTATTTATTTGAAGTCATATATAAATTATTGCATCTGTGTACATGTATTTCTCATTAATAAGTTACATTGTGCAAACTTGGGAATAAAGTTTACTCCAACAGCAGAACTCTGGGAATGGGAAGAATTACATGCTATTACCTCACCTTGGGAGTCTATGGAACACAGAGTATTACAGATGCAAAAACCAAGAAATACTTAATAGTCAGGAATACATTAACTCCAAAATAATTTACTTAATATCAACATTACTGCAAAGTTCCTTGATTTGCTAACACACTGATGCACTTAGAGAAAACCGGGGCTTCGTTTTCAAGCTATTCCTTTATCTACTTACTTAAAAATGAATGAGAAAGCATGCGCATACTTGTTTCTCTTACCAGACATGCAACATACCATATAATGAGAATATAAAGTATCACACAAAACCAGTATTTTTATATTTACAGAAATCCTTAAAGCCTACCTTTAAATGCTGTTACAAAGGGGTCAAGTTTGTGCTCCAAAATGCTAAACCCTCAAAGAGGAGGGTTTTGTCATCTCTACCTCTCTATATCTGAAGACTGGGCTCAAACAAACAAAAACCTAACAAAAACCCACCATGCAAGGAAGTGTCAAAGCACCTGATACCATCAAAATCAGTGGGAGATTTTGCCAGCAACTTAACAAGACAAACAAAATTCTGAACATTCTTCTGGTAAGAAACTACGCTCAAAGGGATAACATAGTAAGTCATGAATATAGAAAGTGTGTATTAATGACTTTCCTCCTTATTACTTACAAAAATACACTAAACCAGGTAAGAGTTTAGGAAGTCAAGCACCCAAATTTAAAAACCCCAGACTTAACCAAAACATGCTTGCTTCTTCATGCTGCCTGTAACTATGTAATTACATAGTGTTCTCATAGAGGAAACGATGTATAGCATGGACAGTACTTCAGGAAATGAGTAAGCTGTGAAACAAGTCTTCAACCATACATGTTTATGGACACTGCATCTGACGAAGTCATGAGAAATGTTCAGCACTCAGCTCTAATGGCATAAAACCTTTTGTGCAATCAGTATGCAATTAAAATACCAACTGTAGAAGCAACAATGGGAAACATACTTGAAGGTAACAACAGGACTATTAAAATACCTCTTAGAAAAGTAGGAAGAAAATTTGCATCTAGAAACAAAGATACCAAGCTTAAGTTCCAAAGCCTTTCACTTTAGCGGGAATGCCAGAGATATTATCAGATGAACTCTTCAGAAATGACTAAGACATCACTATTTAAATACCAGGAAAAATGACGTAAGCCCTCTTCATCCATTCCAATGCAAAGACGAAGTTTGTAGACAGATGGGGAAAGAAGATACAGTTATGCTCTCAAGGAGATCTGACCATGCATCTGCTAAGGTTAGACTATCCTCAGCTGGGCAATATGAAAGACTTTTTGGTACTTTAACCATAGGTCACAGCTCCTAAGGTGAGGAGCTGCAGAAGCAGAGTACAGTGACTACACAGTCAGCGGCCACAAGAGAAAGAGAAGAACACACAGCTCGTGACAAAGCACTAACTTCAAGTTTGTGCAGCAAGACAGACTGTTGCCTAAACCAGCCTTGATGTATTTGCTTTTAGAACTGGAAGCATATAATAAACAGAGCAGAGGACTATATAAAGGGAGGGGGAAAAGGTCTCATTTTAAACTGCTGGATGCCACCTTTAAGAAGTGGATTCTGGCCTTGTTTCAGACACAATCTCATATAAAGAAAACGAAGTCATTTCAGACCATTTTCACAAGCAATCACTAACATTGTTCCTGTTTCCAGAATATTTAGGCTTTCTCCATTTACTAAGTTATTGACATTCCCTCAATTACTAACCAAAGGCCACAAAAATATCAAGTTCTCTGAAAAATAATAGTCAGAAGTACTCGGGCACTGCATAGTACTGTTTCATAGCCCCTCCATAGATCACAATTCAGCAAGGTATTAGAAAGCTGGATTAAACTGTAACAGTTTTCACTAGACCAAGAGACTGTACCAAAACACTTAATACAAACAGCCTCACAATTTTCCTTTAGTCAATCCATTCTACAGCATGTTTGCAGAAAGACCGAATAGTAAAGTACCCAACGACTACCCCTTGCGTGTTAAATAGGACACTCCTATGTTTATATCTGAGCACGACTTTTCCCCTTTTTCCTGCAATGCCAGATCATGTTGACTTACTAGTCTGACCTACCATGCTCTCA